GTGTGTGTGTGTGTGTGTGTTGGTGAGCGCGGGGTGGCATGTCATTGTGTCTTCTTCTTTTTTTTTTTCTTCTTGATATAAGCAACGAGGAACGAAAATGTGTGTCGTGTGGTGGTGTGGGGTGACTTCACTCTGTCTGCTGCGGCTGCTGCTACCAGCCTATCCGCCGGCGTCCATTTCCTCCTCCTCTCTCTCTTTCTCTCTGTCTCTGTCTCTCTGCGTGTGTGCGTGTGTATGTCTCTCTCTCTCTCTCTCTCTGTGTGTGTCTGTGTGGGCGCGCTCCTCCTCCGCGTGGAGGTGCTAGACGCTCGCCGGTGTGGCACCTCTCGTCTCGTCTCCCCTTCCCTCTTCTTTGCGTCGCGTCGCGCGCTAGCTGTCACAGTGAGGCGGCGCCTGCCCCCACCAACCCCCCACAGGGCAAATACATAATACACACACCCGCACACAGTTTACCCGACCAAACAAAAGATATGGTGGCGGGAGCTGAAAGTGTCGTGGACGACCCGCAGACGCTGAAGCGCATCATGGCGGCGGCACAGCCGAGCCAGAGCCACGTTGGCCGCATGATGGACGCCAGCAGATCGCACGTCCACCTCCTCCCGGACTCCTTGTCCAAGACAAGCTCCCTGGCAAAGAAGGAGCGTGACCGGCTGCTGCAGCTGCAGCGTGATCGGCAAGCCGCGTGGGACGTCGCAGCAGAGCGCAAGCTGCTCCTGCCGGTGCTCCGCACGNCAGCTGCAGCGTGATCGGCAAGCCGCGTGGGACGTCGCAGCAGAGCGCAAGCTGCTCCTGCCGGTGCTCCGCACGATGGCGCCATCCTTCACAAGGACCGCCGACGAAGGCTCCACAGAATTGGGCGGCGTTAAAATCGGCGGGGCAGGGTACAACACGATTGTGGGCATGATCCCCACCGTTGACACCGTGAGGCTCATCGCCGATGACGACGAGTTAATCAGCAGCTTCCGCCCTTATCGCATCGACGCGCTGCGGGCCGCGCGAGCGGCGGAGGCGACCGAAGAGAGTGCGCCCCATCCCGACGACGCGCGGTATCTGGAGCCAACGCTCTGCACCCTCGCCGCCAATCGCCTCATTGACGCTGGCGCAATTCCCGACGACGTGGCGCAGGAGTACTGGCCTACCGCCTCCACCTTCGGGGTGGCGGCGATGGGCGAAGGGGATATTGCCGCCTCGCTGCTCTCCACTGGTCCCGCGGAGGGGCTGCTGCATGCAGCCTCCACGTTGCCACGCGGCGATGTGCCAACGGGCACCTCAAGCTTCCTCATGACGCCACGCTTCAGGGAGCGACGCAGCCTGCCGGGCGTGCGGCAGCCGGAACTCGGCCACTACCACCAGCGCTACACACAGGTGGAGCCGCGCGTGGTGGGAGGCTACATCGCCCCTCGCGAATCCGCCGCGCCAAAGGGGCGGGCGTCGCCAATGCTGTCTGATCAGATCGTAACAGTGGAGGTCGTACCGGAGCCGCAGCCCTCGCAACCATCGGTCGGAGCACTAATGGCAGAGAGCTCAAGGGGATGTGGCTTCTCGACCGTTGCGTATCGGTCCGCAACGATGGCGGGTGCTTCCTCCAGTCAGCCACATGCAGCATCACCACCGCCAGTGAAGGGAAGCTCTATGTTCGTCTCCAAAACAGTCCGTATTCCACTCGCCACCTGCAGCGCGGCGAAGGACTTGGCGTACTACCCATACGCCGATGTCCGGTCGACAGTGAAGCGCTCACGCTGCCCGGTGAAATTTGATGTCACCCTTACGCAGCGTCGCCATGACGGCGTGTCAACGACTGCAGTGGTGGGCATGTATGACTTTGCTGGTGACATTGCAGAAAACCCACACCGCGTGGTATGTATGGACCGTGATACCGGGCGTGCGGGCGACTGGCGCAATAAACCACCGGCGCCTCAGTCGCAGGCAGATTTTGTGGATGTCGGCACGGCCCTCAAGATGGTGCGACCACGAACACGGTCGGTGACAATGGCGCCGCGCATATCAGAGGACGACGACGCACAGAAGCGCGCCAAGGCACCAGACAACACAGTCTCCATTGAGCGGGACCTGAACTTCCCACGGAGCATCTTTGACCACTGTGAGGCACGGAGGGTGCGACAGTTCGCCACAATGGCTGGGCGAAGCTCATCCGCGCCCATGACATCGCATGAGGCACCCGATAATGTGGAGATGACGCTTGTGACAAAGCGTACACCATGCCCATTCATCCACCCGACTGCGCCAGGTCATGTCCCGCTGCACCGGCCGAACACGACGGAGATCGGCGATGTGCCAAACCTCAAGTGGACAAAGCCAACAACAGAGCGCACGACAGACTTTGGTATCGTCAGCTCCACGCCGCCGACGCAGCTGCCTATGCGTGATTTGTGGTACGACACCAGCAAGCGGGCGTTGGTGGAGCCTCGATTGACGGGCAACCCGATGATAGAGACGCAGGTGTCGCGTGAGAAGCGCGCCAAGATATTCACGACCACCGGCTGTGGCGCCCACGCGGTGTACAATACTGACATCCCACAGCACGGCAAGTCGGTGCCGTTGTTCGAGAAGCAGATCACAAAGGAGACGCAGTTCTGCGGCCATCGGCTGCAGTCGGAGCGGTGGCAGCGCAAGAACCCCAAGGCGCCGGGCCCCGGCCACTACACTGTGTCGTACCGCCTCGTCGAATAGATGGCACGCGCATGTACTTGAGGGGGAAACACAGACGCAGCACAAGGTTGCATCGCAATCAATATAACGCAGCGGAAGGGAGGAAGGGAATGTTTGTGTGAAGCGTGCGTCAAATAGGATGTTGTATAAAAATTGGGAATACGCAACGGAAGCCGCGGAAGAAGACTTCCGATGTGCCGCAGAGATATCACATGTACAAAGTGCATCTGGAAAACCAACTAGAGGGTTTGCGCATGGAATTTGCATGCCTTGCACATTCACATGCACATGAACACACATATGCATACACACACACACACACACACAACTGCACGCAACTCTTTGTTCGCCCCAGCTCTGCCTACCGATACTGTTGGTCTTCTCATTCCTCTTGCAATTTTTTTTTTGGCGTTTCTGGTGACGCGCGCTCCTTTCTCCCAGAAATGTAGAAGTGGAATCGGACTGATGTAAGGGAGTCGCTCGGCCGAGTCAAGGCCTATGAGAGAGAGAGAAAGAGAATGCAGCAGCCAGCTGCGCAACAAAACAGCAGGGGGTCTGTAATCAAGCGCCTTCACGGCGGCTTGGGAGGTTTCACTCCGTCATTCCGCACAACTCATCACGGATCTGCTGATAATTGGCGGCTCCCACACGACAAAAAATATAAATCCGTCCCTCATCCTCACATCGTCGTTCCTGCTTCAACACTGAGTGGCTGTCGAAGAGAAGAAAGAGGGGGGAAGGATACGATAACCAGATTGGGTTGGGTGGTGCATTGTACCACTGTTGTGCTGCGATAATCCAGGGTGGCTTATTGATGCACGCACACGGGCGCAGGAGGAGCAGCACGGGTGTGCCACGGCCCGCGCAGGACGAGTGGGCGTTAACGCGGGCTTTTGTTTTTCTTCCCCCAAAAAAGCAACCAGAAGAGGAAAGATGCGGCGTCCTTTTTTGAAACTCTCTACAGTGGGCATGCCTTGCTGTGTTGTGTTGTGCTTTTTGTGCGTGGGCAATGGGGTGTGTGGGAGAGATAAAACGGAAATATTCCGCTGGTCGGCGAGAGAAGGAACACCTGTTTGTACCTCTGTGACGCTTTCCACATTGTTGTTTTGCTGCTGTGCCTCGTTGGTAGGAAGTGCTCTCAAAGCAACACCGAAGATGATGCGCTGCGTGCTGCTTGTGTGTGCCCTCTGCGTGTGGTGTGCCGGCGGGTGTGCGGCAGCCGGCGGCGGGGAGGCGGCGGTGGGGGCGGCGCAGACTCAACACACCAGCAACGTTCCGGGGGACCAGGTGCCGAAGAAGATTGTTTTGGGGATGCGTTATTCAGAATTGATGAAGAAGGCGGCTCCACAAATTTCTGCTAAACAGAATTACACAGAGGAAGGTATTACTGTGGCCCCCGGTACTCCCGAAGATGCGGAAAAGGCCAGAAAGCCTACAAGTTCTTGGGCCCAAAGAGGTCTTAAGAGCAAACCCGAGAAAAAGGTGGAAGAAGTCACAGAGGTGAAAAAATCAGAAGTGGAAGACCAGCGCAGCCATACAGAGAATTTAAGTGTGGCGGAGACACAACACACAGAAACGGCTCCCAGAGAGCAGGAACACGTTGCTGATCGTGTAGCAGCGCCACTGCAAGAAAAAGAAGAAGCACACCACCTCAAGGAAACGAAGCTCAACGAGCAAACTGGTAAGGAAGCCAGCAGTTCCTCATCATCCAGCATCAAACCTGAAGAGGAAGTGAAGTCTCAGCAAGAGGCACCGAAAGCAGAAACTGTCAGTAACACCGACCCGCATAAGGATGTGCAGAGTACGGCTCCCCAGCAGCATTCCAATAAAGAGAACAACCCTCGTGCTGTTAGTGTCCCTGCAAAGGATATTGAAACCTCGTCACCTGTTGCTGCGGATCCCGCTCCTGCACCTGTGCCCGAAAAGGAGCGTAACACAGCTGCTGTCAGTGAGGCGACAAACAGCAACCCTGCCACCACTGCTGCTGCTCCAGAAGTTGAGAACGTGAAGGACACGAAGAATGCGGACAGCAGCGTCAGTCCTGTGTGGGTGCATGCACCGCTGCTTCTGCTGACGTTGTTTGCAGTGACGGCTGTGTGATGAGCATCGTGGCCAAGTAAAATGCTTCGTCGCTCTCTCTCTGTGTGTATGCTGCGAGCTCATGGTGGATGTATTTATCCCCTCTCTTCCTAATGATTGCTTGGGGCTCAACTGCTGCCCCTTTGTGTGGTTGTTTCTTTTGTTTCTCTCTGTGTGTGTGTGATTGCGTATTGCTGACGCACCCATGGCGGCGGTGTGCACACTTGTGAGCCCACCCTGCCACTGCGCCGTCCTCTTCGCTGTGGAGCACATGTCCGTTGTGTGTGTGTGTGTCTTGTTGCTGCTGCCGTCCTCTTGCACATGCACCACACCGTGGCTGTGCTCGCTGGATGGATGCGTGTGAGGGGGCTGTGGGTGTGTGGCATCCTCGTGGTGTGTGGGGTGGAGGGTGCGTTAATCCTAATTGCTTTTCATTTCTGCCTGCATGTGCTCGTGGAGTACGATAACCCTTTTATTCTGTGTGTGTGTGTGTGTGTGCGAGTATATCCACACTGCAGTAGCAGGATGTCTGCATGCACTTTGATTGGGTGCCGATTCTTTATTAAGAGACTTGCTTTGTGGGGAAGATTTGTGTTGGGCGCATGTGTGCTGCGGCTCTTTAATTCCCTTCGGTGTGTTTCCCTTGCCGCCCACTCACTTGTGTGTGTGTGTGTGTGTGTGTGTGTGTGTGTGTGTGAATGGTTCTGCGGTGCTTGATGGGCTTGTTGTGTGATGCCTGCAGCTGTGTGTTGGGTGTGGGGCAGGGACACACTTGACGGCAGGCACCTCCATTGTTTGTTGGGCTGTTTGGGTGCGCTCCTCTGGGAACAAGACGCCACTGTCGTCATGCCTCGGCCTCTTGTAACTGGGTGTTTGATTGGGATGTTTGGGTGATTGTGTTGCGGTACTGAAGTGGCGGACTGAATGCTGCATGGGTGCTGCTCTGTACTGTCTGTTTTTCTTTGCTCTTTTTCTCTCTCTCTGTAGGAGCAGTGCTGACGATGATGATGACGATGCGCTACGTGTTGTTTGTGTGTGTGCTCTTTGTGTGGTGTTCCTGCGTGCGTGCTGCCGAGGAAGGGAACACCGACACTGGTGATTGCGTGCCGCCTGAAACTGAAAAATGTAAAGGTTCTAAAATGCCCAAGGCAAGTAAGGGTGACCGTGGAGCCCAGGGTACTTCTCAGTTGGCTGCATCTCACACTGATCGAGTTGAAAGTGAGCCCGATAACAGTGTGGCAGAATGTGATGGAAAGCTTGATAAAATGGATTGTGTTAAACCACCGTCTTCTGTTGTTCCTGCTCCCTGCCCAGAGAAAGAATCTCAGCCCTGTCCACAGCCCCAAATCGTTGATACAAGCAGTCATGGGTCTGAGACGGATGGGTCTTGTGTAGGAGGCGCAACTCATCCTTGCGAGAGAAAGCTCCCACCGGTGCATAAGGGTGTTGATGATAATATCGATACCCCTACTCTCCCGAAGGAGGAGGGGTGCACGCCTCCTGAGGATGCAACAGGTAAACGTCCGGCCTGTAAGCCTGCTGGACTCCCTCTGGGGACGAAGGGCCAGAAGCAGTCGCCCGGTGCTTCAGGTGGGACCGAACGTGCTAACCTGAATTTACAAAAGCAAGAAGTGATTCATAAAGATGGGAGTAAAATACTCCAGCCAACTGAGAAAACCATCGATAATACGGGTCATGAAACTCTGCCAAGCGGTCCAGGGCAAAGTCTTCAAGGTGACAAGAAGATAGCAGAGAAACAGCAGGGAGACGTCGGTGGATCTTCGAATGGTCCCAAGGACGCTCACAGACCCGGCGGAACGAGGAATGACGCCCCAGCTTCTGGTCCCACTCCACCTGCAGTAAACACACCTGAGGCTGAGAGCGCTGCTGACGATCACCCCGAGGGGGAGCCTGTTGAGAGTGCTGCTCAGGCTGCAGTCGAACAAAGTGATGCCGTGCAATCGCAGACATCTCCCACCTCTACTTCCACGAGTGCCACAGAAGCCACAAGCAGCAGCCAGCCGAACAGCAGTCCGTCAACCGACAAGGGCCAAGACACGAAGGCGGTGGACAGCAGCGGCGGTGCTGTGTGGGTGCATGCACCTCCGCTGCTTCTGCTGGCGTTGTTTGCAGTGACGGCTGTGTCATGAGCATCGTGGACAAGTAACATGCCTCCTCGCTCGCTCTCTGTGTGTGTGTGTGCTGCGAGCTCATGGTGGATGTATTTACCCCCCTTCCCTTCCTAATGATTGCTTGGGGCTCAACTGCTGCCCCTTTGTGTGGTTGCTTCTCTCTCTCTCTGTGTGTGTGTGTGTGTGTGGCATCCTCGTGGTGTGTGGTGTGTGGAGTGGAGGGTGCGTTAATCCTAATTGCTTTCCATTTATGCCTGCATGTGCTCGTGGAGTACGATAACCCTTTTATTCTGTGTGTGTGTGTGCGAGTATATACACACTGCAGTAGCAGGATGTCTGC